TTTTCATTTTAAGAATTTTTTAAAATATGCTCAGACATAGCTTCCAAAAAGTTTGTTTGCCTTAGATTCAAAACCAAAGCTACACATTAAATGTGTACAACTATGAAATGTATTAATTTTGCAATGACAATGTCGATGTGTTGGAAATTGCTTTAGCAAAGCCATGTCCTGGAGTTCGCTGCTGCTCTTCATGCCCAGGACTCAGCCTCCCAGAGTGTGCAAAGAAAAGACAACCTCTCCATGTACTGTTCCGTCCACTGTGCAGAATCTTCCATTATCCCACTCACCTGGAGCAAATGAATCATTTATGAAGGAAGCTTTTGTCCCTTGGAATCAATGTAATTATAAACACTAACATGGAAATAAAAAAACAGTGACAGGGCCCTATTATAGGATCGTCAGCATCCACAATATGTTTGACTTTGAAAGGATTATTTCACTGAAAGCACAAATTTGTAGAAAGCCTGCAGGCAACCTATGGAACCCAAATATATCAGTAATTTATTATTCTTCAAACCCCAATTTTTGAGGACTTTCATAATTCTAGATTCCTTGGTTTCTTCCCAGAAAGTTTTGTTCTGCCATTAGGAACCCCTGTGACACCCAAGCAATACCAGGCGCATGTGCTCATCAGCATAACCCAATGTTAGTGTTAACTCAGCACTTTATTACTAACTTGGCACCAACTGCTCTGACCTCATTCTTTCAAGGTCTTTTGTTGTTGTAAAGGAAAATTGGTGTTGGCCTATATATTATTTATTATTAGCCCTATAATTATTGCCGTGGTATTATTTAACCCGCTATCACAAATACTAAGACACAGATACCTGTTAGATTTTATAATTGTCTATTTACCTTGGGCTGGGCAGATATTTCTACCTACACTATCTCAATAACTTCACCATCCACCTCCTAGTCCCCATCCATTGCCATCTTCCTTAACTAGCCTTATCTGGGCTACCTTCCATCCATAATCTTATAAAAACTTGCTTATATTTTTATCTTGGTGTTTTTCTCCATCCATGCCATCCTCAGAGTCCTTCCTTCTGGCCCACGTGGTTCCTTCTTCATGCTAATCCATCATGGTGTCCTCCTTCCTCCTCTCTTCTTGTCCATCTGTCTTCCATGATTCTCTTGAACCCGAAGCCTGGGAACCTTAGTCATGCCTATCCCATTCTCCCCTGCCCAGGTATAGGCTATTTAATCAAGCAATCAGGTATAATGTCTTAGGCAGGTTTACACAACAAGGATAGGTGTGTCTGGGAAGTAACCAGATCTTGAGGGCCAGTAACTAGCAGCAATATACAAGTATCAGACCAACCCCCAACAGTCTTTTGAAGTATATTGCTATTATTGTTTGACAATTGACATATTGGTAGTGAGGCACCAAGAGACTGAATAACGTTCCATCATGAAGCGTCATCATAGTCATTGATAGTTGGACCACTTAGACCAGCCCCTACTCCACACCACACTGGAGTTACAGCTCTTTCAGTTGCTATGAAATCTACTGAAGTTTCAGTCCCAGAAAAGAGCCTTTGCAGTTTACATGAAACTAAATTACTGTCATTCCAAATAGCCTTATGCTGTGATGAAAGCTGAATCCCACAGAAACCTCTCTGAGTGGAAACCTGATGACCTTGGCTCTTTGGCTGTGAACAGGACCACTTAGTGACTTCAGATCACCATGGAAAGAACTGGAAATAAGTACAAGCACAGCCTGCTTTTGACCTCATGGTTTGTCTCCAACCATGGAGGAAGGACAAAACAGAAGGAAACTACCCATGTTTCTTCCTGATAGTGAGTCTGCCAAAAGATCCATAGAATCATCCATTGCCTAGAAACATGGCAACAACTTCCATTAGGAGCTCCAGTCCATTCAAGCTCCCTGGATTTCCTTTGTCACATTTGCCACATTTCCAGATCTCTGTTCATAACACCCATCATATTGGATACAAGGCAGAACGTTCTCACAGGAAGTTCTACTAGACAGCCACATCCTCCATACCACCTCCCCAATAAAGTCCCTAATCACTGGGCACAGTCTGACTCCCCAAAAGCTCAAGTTCATGTTACAATTAAGGTCCCCCTGGGCCTTTTGACAGTTTTGCTTTGGAGTGACAGCCGAGATATGAAGAAGGACTGGGAAGAGTCCACAGATGGAAAAAAACTGACTCCCCTCCCCCAGCTGGCAGACACAGTCAGGCTGCTGATTCCTTCCTCCCTATATGAAACACCCTTACCCTCCACAATGAGGCCATTTGTTCAGAGAACACACAGCCTCCCCAAGGCTAAAAGGCTGAGAAGGGGCGTTTTCTGAAATGAAGCTGCAAGGTAAGGTGCTGTCCCCTCATGAAGACTCAATGCTCGAAGACACATTTCTCAGGGTAACCTCTTGGGTTATGGATCTGATTGTAGTCCATGATCAGAATGTGGGCAGGGGACCAGTAAATACATTCCTTCCTAAACTCTCAGAAAACTCCCAGGAGGACACCCAGAAGGGCTTGGAATCCCTTCCTGTCAGCACTTAGGGGCCCTTACTTCAATTTTTCTGTGATCTTTCCCTATGTACTTTTCACCAAATGTGATAAGGAGAGATTTCCTCAAAGATTAGTTTAAAAGAAGGATAAAGAGATAGAAGACCAACAGATAGAAGGAAGGACAATCCTCAGGTTCCAGCTTGGCCCCCGCATATAGAAGTATAATGAAGTTCTGTAAGCAAAATTAGATTTCCAGAAGCCATCTTTAAAAATTAAAAGGAAGCAGGGAATTTTGTTTGTAATAATGTATTTTATTTAACCTAAAATCTCCAAAGCATCATTTTGAAATGTAGTGAATGTTTTTAAACTGGATGAGATAGTTTACATTTTACAACTCACATTGTCTTCAAAATCCCATGTGTGTGTTAGACCTTTGACAGCAAGTCCCATCTGGGCTGAACCTCATGGCACCTGTGCTGGGACAGCTACATGAAAGAAGCAGCTATTGTCCTGGCCAGGATGTGTCTTCAGGAGTCTGGACCTTAGGCACTTGTCTTCTATGAATCTCAGAAGAGAATCTAGTTCACTTTCCACTTTGAAATTTGTTTTCTGTCAAATTGAATCTCGTTTTAGCAACCTGACCCATTTCCAACATCTATAGGCTCCTTTGTATTTTCTCTCCATCCCAACGGTATTTGTAAATGTTTCCCAGTTATCATAATTATGCTAAATGACACCTAAATACCAGTCAGGCTTCAGTTCAATATCAGCTTCCTCCAAGTCAAATCACCCCTCCTTTTTAGCATTACATTTTAGTTTGTTTCCAATTTGTATGCTGTGCTCTACTTTCAACCAATTTGCATTAGTTCTGTAAGAAAAGGCCGGTGGACTGCCACAGCTAACAGCAAACTTGTATCCATCTTTTCTTCCCAAGGGCTGGGGCTCTGAACCAGTCTTAACCCCCTATGACCCATCTGATAAGAAAGTGAGGGGAGGGGGGATTCCCAGCAGGTACAGGAGTTGAAATGTCTTCCTGCTAATGCTTACCCTAAGCCTTTGGTAAGAGACAGACTCACTTCATTCTCTCTCCAATCCTTGCCTGTGAAATAAAACCACTCAGAGGCAAATTCAACCTCTTTTTCTCATTTCTCCAAGAGAGAGATGGGCAAAGAACAAAGTCTTTTTAGATTCAGCCTAAAAGACACAGCCCAATTCTAGGATGAAGGGCTCTGGGAATAAGGATGAAGGGTCTTATTTTTTAAATTCTCTACCACACACGAATGTGCTTACCCTGTTGTTTTGTTTCCAGGAAAAACACAAAGTCCTTATTTAAAAAAAATTATACTTTCCCTTTGGTGGCAAAATTTCCATTTTCAAAGGTCCAGTGCCAGATTGATCCAGAAGAGATAAGTCTACCTTGGCGCAGGTGCCAGGACTCAGCTCCCTAGGTGGACAGGGGTTTCCTGACAGCGTCCCCAGACCATGAAGTGTGAGGAGCCTGGCATTCTCTGAACCAGCCATCCCAATAGACTCTGAGCTCAACAGACCGGAAGTAAATGCCTAGCTAGAGAAAAAAGCCTGATATGCATTCGCCCTTTGGTGTCAGTGCCTTTCTCATAGGACTTCAACCTACCACGAGTTCTTTCAAGTTCCTAGGAAAATGCCTCCCTCCACCAGAGCAGCCTCATTAATCTGTGTTCTCTGAGAAGACTTCACCACACCATGATGGGCATATTTTCCTAAGAGGCCCAATCATGAGTCCATATCTCCTAGGACATCTTATTACTCGAGGCTGTCACCCTGAATCTTCCACAGAGCCGAGTACTTTGCCTCATTCATAAATAAATGTCCTGAATGAGAGAAAGTTAGTGAAAATAAGTATATAAATAAATAACAATGAGAAATAAGACCAGTGGCTATTCTTCTCATCCTCCTCAGCATCCGGAGCCAAGGACTCTACCTAGAGTTGCTATGGGGAAGAATGATGTTTCTCAAAGCCACAAGAGGACCTGCTCAGATCACCAAGTTCAAAGCCAAGTCAATGGGAATTCTAGAGTTGTTTTTATTGTTTTATTTTTGTCTTTTCAAGATCTTTTTTTTTTTTTAAACCAGGCTGGAGAGAGCTGGTAAGAGCACTTGCTGTTCTTGAAGAGGACCAGGGTCTGATTCACAGCACCCACACTGTGGCTTACAACTGTCTGCGTCTCCAATTCTAGAAGATCTGATTCCCTCTCCTGTCCTCTGCAAATGCCCTCCACACACACGGCACACATATATGCAGGCCAAACACTCAATCTTGAGAATTCCATTTATAATCAAGTTACAGACTATTTACATTGGGTCTGTAAAGATGGAAGAGAAGGATAGAAGGAATGAGGCTTGAAAAGAAGTTGCCTCTCATTCCCTAACTGAACACATACATACAGATACACATGCACACACACACAAGAGAGAGAGAGACAGAGAGGGAGAGAGGGAAGGAAGGAGGGAGGGAGGAAGGGCTGGCAAAGAACATGGTTGTTAGCCGGTCTTTGCTACGACGCTGAAGCTCTCTAGGCTTCTGTAGCTCAGAACATTAAAGTAGTCCTGGGGTTCTGCATAGTCATCTTCTGCCTGGTCTCCATGGCGGCCAGCAGGGGAAGCTTCTGTCTGGACAGGGCCTCCGGGGGACGAGAGAATCCTGAGGTGCCATTCCTGTGGCTCAGCTGCCATTCTCCCAAGGCCACTTTCCGTAGAATGAATTCTAAGAGACTTCTAGGATTAAAAAAAAAAAAAATACATGGGGATGTTATTCAAAAGCTACTTTACAAATGGCACATAGTTATAGCCACCTGTCTGCCTTTCTAACATGAACACACATGCATATACACACACATACACACACACACACACACACACACACACACAGAGAGAGAGAGAGAGAGAGAGAAGCAAACTTGTATTCTTGCCAGTATACAAACCTTAGTCCTTAATTTTCCTACTTTATTGTAGCTTTTTTCTTTATTTTTTAAAAATTCTCATACAATATATATGATATTCTTTCCCCTCTCCCAATTCCTTACAGATCTTCCCCACCTCCCTACTCATTCAACCTCATGTTTCTTCTCTCTCTCAAAACAAACAAAACCAAAAATCATTAAGACAAAAATATCAAACTCAAAGCATGCAAACAAACAAACAAACAAACAAGCAACATAGAATTCATTTATGTTGGTCACCTGTTCCTGGACATAGGACCTGCCTTGAAGTGTAGTTGATACAAACCCAGTGTCACTTTTTTGGAGAAACTGGTATCAATTGCAAGTAGCTTCTTGATAGGGGTGGGACTCGTGTCTACTTCCTCCTCTCCACATAACTCATTTTCAATAGTAACAGCTCCAGTGAAACTAACTTGCCACCCCAAAGCCCTTATTTCCTGTTCTCTTAGCCAGGAAAGCCCTGCCTTGCTTCCATCTCTTTTTTCTTCTCTTCCCTTCTGCATGCGCACTGTTCATTTCTTCCTTCTCTTTGGTTTCTATGCCACCACTTTCTCCTCACTCCTCTCCTCCTCTCAGGCTCCACCTTTAGACAGCCTGGCCCTTTCCTATTTGTACATTGGCTCTCCAAGCCAGGGGGTTACCCAGGATTCTGCCCTCTGCTTTCTGACTCTCAATGCTCTGAATCACTTCATCCATCATAAGACTCCACACAAGACCTATCCTCTAAAGACTCGGCAAGTAGCCCAGGCTCTGCACTGAGCGCCAGGCTTACCCACTCACCCACTCAGCATGGCCTAGGAGAGAATCACAGCAAGCCTGAACTCACCTTGTCTCCATGAAAACCATTGGCCCCACCCCACAATCTTCCCCTGCCCACCTTTTCACTTTTGGCTAAGAGCACAGGCCCTTCCGAAACATGGACGTTCCAATCTCTCCTAACACCTGTGATGACCATTCTCGGTTGTCAGCCTGACTACACTGAGAATGAGCTGAATGAAGCCCAAGTGGCTGATAGGATGTGTGAGGAGTTTTGTTTTTCTTTGTAAATTAAATCATTTGAAGTGGAAAGATCCACCTTCAATCCAGACATTTTGAAGTGGGAACAATACATCTTTGATCTGAGCCTCACCTTCTGGCTACAGCCTCTATAAAGAACGTGAAGAAGGAAGCTTTCTCTTTTTGTCTGCTTGGTCTTCCTCTTGCTGCAAAGTCTATTCCGTCACATGCATTAGACCCAGTTCTCCAGGATTCTGTGCACCAAAGAACAGCTGAGACAGCCAGCCTTGTGAACTAAACAACTACAATTCTGATACTTTGCGCTGGAATACCACCATTGCTGAACTAGCTGAACTACACCCTATAAGCCACTCTAACACATACATACATACACAGAACCTTTATCCATACATATATCCTATAAGTTCTATTCCTCTAGAGAACCCTGATTAACACACACTCCATCCAGTTTTCCTCCATCCCCTATTCATTTCATCCCTCTCACCTGCCGGGAAGAAGGCCTCTGGATCACATTTCCTCTTACTGCTAGGGTAACTTTCCAAAGACCTCCACATAGTGACTTTTTAAAAATAAAAATGAATTCTGTCCACACCTCTGCTTAAAACTGTTTAATGGCCTCCACTGTGCGCCAGAGGATACTTAACCTGGAGTGAGCTTTGATGAACACCCTGAAAGAGTTGACCTCAGAGGATGTACAAACAATCTCTAATCATAATTAAAGCGTGATATAAAGGTGTGTTTTGTGGGGCAAGAAATCAGTGATTCAGTAAATTCCCCAAAGGATCTCTGATGCCCCAAACACTCTTTGTGTCCCACCTATGCCCATCTCGCCGGCTTCATCTCCCGCTGTGCTTCACAACCAAGATGCCCAACTTCTGAGGCACACATGCCAGAGAGCCGCCATTTATTGCAACACAACTTTGAGATCAGACCCAGTTATCTATTTCCGCTCAGCAACATCTCTGCTGATGTCTAGTCTGAAATGAGCTTATGGGCACAAGCAGAAGTCCTTTGACCACTGGTTGCTCAGATTTGTCTGACTCCACTTGTAGTGCTCGTTTTTAAACTCTGTATTCTTTGGGGTTCCTTCCAATCCCCCAACTCTAAGCAGGAGAGAGAAGAAGGTTAATGTAGAGAGGAGGCGCAGACCCCTTTACTTCTCCCAGCTGTTTCGGGTCTATGGGTTCTTTTAGGGCTATACCAATTCTCCATCAACAGAAAAGCAGCTAGCAGCCTCCTCCATCTCTCTCCTCCAAGCTGCGGTGCCACTGTCTCACTGTCTGTCTCTGGTCTCTCCAAACTGCCACTCACCACATGCCACCTTTACGGCTCTCACATTTCTACCCTCAGAGCCCTAGATCATGCCCCCCCACTCCCCACAAGGCAGGCCATTACCAGCTGTCAAAGACCACACCACACACAAGACAGTTTTCAGCTGTGGACAAATTAAAGCCCAAACTAAAATCTCACATTTGGGATTAAAACAAAAACATATTTACGTAACATAATTGAGTTTTTACAGAAACCAAAACTTCTTTTACATCTGCCTACACTTTTCTTTGACCACACCGCCTCTCTGTGTGCCTGTCTGTGAGGGCCACCTGGCTTACCTTTCTGCTTTCAACACTCTTATGTCCATATTGCGTACGGGCAATCTCAGAACCCATACCAGATGTTCAATCTATGCATGTCTTAAGACTGAAACGGGCATGCATGCCCAGCTGGACACACACCCCATGTTTCTATAAGACTGCCCCACATAAAAGAATCTGCTTTCTCAAGTCAAAGTATAATCTCACAACCAGGAAACTAAAGCATTCATCGAGACAAGACAGAGCAGTGAAATCTGTTCAGTGATACCAGCCGTAGAATCCATGTTAGAGTGTCATGCTTGAGGGTTGTGATAATACAGGGGAGCTGGAGAACATCAGACATAAGCTATAGAGTGACGAGGAAGTGCTTAATAATATTGCAAACATTTGACATTCTTTTGGTCTTAGTGATGGCTGCTCTAATGCATGCCATTCACCCACAAATGTATCTGATCAACAAAATCACGAAGAGCCAGGGACTTGGAAAGTGGAGCAAGCAAGACATACTCCTTTTGCATCCAAGAGAGAAAATGCTGCCCAATTGGTGTCGAGCCCAACTGCGCACAGTGTAAGCGAGGAGGTGGAGAAGGGAGGTTAGAAGAACCGTATAGGTGTATACAGTGAACGGATACCAAAAATCGGAAGATGCGTCGTTCCAGGCCTTGAGGAGCTGGGCATTGTGAGACACTATAGTCTCAGAATGATGTACACAAGGCATTGGTCTCCCTCCTCCCATTTCTTCTCAGTCGAAGCGGCTAAACTTCAACATGCGTATGATGGGAATGGCTGTCATAGCTCATGCTGGTGCTGTGTTTCAAAGGACTCTGACATCCCTTGATACAATACAATCCATTTTAATATGAATACTCAATTATTTCTCAAAGACCTAATTATGACTTTTTGTGCGTGTGTGTTCCTATTCTCATTCCTGGTAAGGATGGCCACTCTTTCTTTTTAATTTTAAGACTATTTTGAGCTCTAAAAATCCTCTGGGAAATGCAAATATTCCTCAGACGGGTCCCTAAGCTGTTCCATTTCCATTCTACCCTACATGGAGACGCTATAATTGTAACCAGTGTGAAAAAATAGGTCTGAGATTAATGTACTAACACTGTACTAGAGAACCAAGTGAAGCTATAGAAATTGCAACTGAGTCCTCCTGGGACAAACATTGCTTTCTAGTAGCATGTGAGGGGAATGAACAGTGGACAGTGGGGTTGACAGAGCCATTGTCCTGTATCAGATACACATAACTTTTTTTCCAGGCCAAGAACATGTATTTGTATAATGTGTACATATATACACATATATACATATTCATATAATATATATCACATATATATCACCTGCATATACTGCAAAAATATCTCCGGAAGAGATGACATGCATGCTGAACTTTCTTTCCTCCCACCTCAACACAAAAGGTGTTCTCTGCATCTGTCCTACAGGCGCTAATATAATCAGGTTTCTGAAATTATTTAGTGCAAGGATTGTCACAGACACCGCCATCACCAGCCCTGTCCTTATAGGCTGCCTTTTAGCATCATTCTTAGGAGCCACTCATCTAGAGCACTCTCAGAATAGGGGCTGGTGTGAGTGACCCGGGTTCTCAGAGGAAAGATAGCAAGGGAGGCCAGAGGCAAGGGAATGCAAGGGTAGCGCCAGCATTACTGATTTCCATGGTGTCTCTCCTCTGCAGACGGATGCTGAAGTTGGAGATGCTCCTACAGAATGGGATCCCTAGCAGGAAACAGGATAAAGGGACCTCAAAATAGTATAGAGAAGATGAGTGTTTAAGAAACAAAGTAGATACAGCTACAACGATGGAAACTAAGAAGACCTGGCCTGTGGGGATCTTAAGATGGTTCATACAGCACAGTGATCCTAGGATAAACAGATAGATAGATAGATAGATAGATAGATAGATAGATAGATAGATAGACAGCCTACAATAGAATTCTGTGGACGTGTGTGTGTGTGTGTGTGTGTGTGTGAACTTGTATACACACATTCAATACAACTAAGAATACTTGAATGAAGTCTAAAGCCAACCATCCCCATGAAAAGTCTAGATATTTTGTCCAGTTTCCAGGTCTATGAACAGAACTAAATAGATACAGCCTATTTGTGCTTTGGCTCCAGTCTCAACCTTCTCTGTCATCTTCTG